TGAAGAAAAGTGAATCTTGGACTTCTGAGTTTGGGCTTTCTATGGGCCTCTAGAATCTTCCATTCACTTCTATTTAAGTTCAGAAAGTAATTTGGATCAAGGTTGGTGGTTATTTTGTGCTAGAGTCAGAGATTGCAGAGTGAATTTCAAGGGAGCAAGTGCAAATCATGTTTTCATTTCAAGAGTGATTCAAGGCAAATTGAGGATTGAATCATCTTCAGCATCAATCATAGAGTGTGTATGCACAGTTTGAAGCCAAGGATCGTGCCCTAACTGCTTTAATTTGAAGCTGCAACTCAGGTATGCAACTTTCAAAATTGTTGTAGATCCATGACGATCTAGCATGTTTTAGCATGAGGTTAAGGTTTAGGAGAGATTATAGATGGATTCTGGATCAGAATTTGGAGGTTTAGAGACAAATTAAGATGCAACATGATTTCTGTTTGGATTCGAATTGGCTTGATTGTTGAGAGTTAACATGACCTAGATAGCTTAAGATAATCTATGAAGCATGAGAAATTGATCCATGGCTTTAGATTGAGCTTTGATGATGATCAAAATATTTGAGTGATTTCTGTTTGCGTTCGAATTTTAAAATCCATGAGGAATTAGGAGAAAAGGACATTGGATTTGAGATCAGCATGAAAAATGGAATGGAACTGTCTAGATTTTGTTAAGGATTGATGACCTGCAACTTAAGCTCACCGGAGAAGACGGTGGCTCAGCCACCGGAGCCACCACACCTGAACTTCCCTCTTTTTTCTGATTTAAATGAAGAAGATGAAGAAGATCTATTGGATTGGATTGAGAAGGAGACTTTGTATTCAGATCGTACGCGTGCAATTCATCTTCAGAAGTGGACTTTGACCAAGCAAAACGACACAGTTTCATTAATGCGCTCGCAGCCCCCTAGCGCGTTGGATTGTTTGACTGGTAGCCAGATCTAGTGGCCTGGATATTTTCCTGAGTTAATTCTTTTTTTTTTAAATTCTTTTTCTTTTTCTTTTAATCCATTAATCTTGCAAAATTCATATTAATTTCATTATTGATCAGAAAAATACCATAAAAATATGTGGATGATCTAGATTTAATTTCTGATTTTTTGGTGCTGTTACATTTTATTTTCATGCAATTTTCAATTTAATGTGATTTTTTGCATTTTCATTAATTCCTTAATTTTGGCTTAATTCTTCATGTTTTTGCTGAATTTTGATTGGCTGTTTGGTATAGAATTTAGGGCTGAATTTTGGCTTGCTGGTAGATTAGAGATGCATGATCCCCTAGGATTTAATTCAGATTTTTTAGATAACATTAGGTACTGTTTAGAACTAGTTCCCTTGACCTCCCATTTGTAGGGTTTCTTTTGACCTCTTTGGGTTTTAGGATTTTTTTAGGTGCCTTCTCTTTAGATTAAGGCTCTGATCCTTTACCCACAGATCAATAACATGCTTAGGATACCTTAGAAAATTTGATAGAATTTTAGAAGGTGTTTTAGGATTTTAAGTAGATTTAACATTTAAGGTGTTGATTAGGGTGCTTCTAGTGTAGCTTTTCCCTTAGTTGAATTTCAAAGGTGGATTTTAGTGCAAATAAGCTTCTAAATCTCTTGTGGTGGTTCATCAGACATCTTGAGGTTTCTTTAGTTTGAATACCTAGGCTTGAATTGTTGTTTTTCCTCCTTTTAATAGCTTGCTTGTAGCTTATTCAATTAGGGTTTAGGAAGAGCTTAGTTTGTTTTCTCTTTCTTCAAATAAACATGGATTGCCTTGATTGCTTTCCATTCTCATCCAATGATTCAAGGTCCCTATGTGGAAGCCTTATCTTTCCTTTGGAAGGATGTGTGGCATATCACAAGAGGTAGAACTTTTGAGGATGCCTATCTCAGATGTATGGTTGAGTGTCAGGATGGATTCCCTTGGTTTCCATCCTGCTTCCCATCATCAAGAAATAATCTTGATGTTAACTCTATTTTCCTTTGTTGGAGCTTTCTTTTCCTTCTGTTGAAGATGGCTTGGACTTGAAGTTAATTGCAGACTGTTTGATTGTTTTGCTGTTGATCTGCTTTGCTGTTGAGCTGCTTGTCTGCTATTTTGCTTGCTGTGTTTTCTGATTGCTTGACTGCTGCTTGTATGACTGTTTGGTGTGTTGCATTAGACTAGGCTCTCATGTAGATGTTTCTAGGCCTAAGAGCATCCTAAAGGTTGAGCTTTCTCCCTTTGCTTGTCTGCATTAGAGGTTGAGTTTGTCTCCCTCTGCTTGATTGTTATTGCTTGGCTTTGCTTGCTGGCTTAAGGTTGAGTCTGTCTCCCTTGCATGTGCTTTGTGTGTTGCCTTTGGGCTTGCTTGCTCTAGAAGTTGAACTTGGCTCCTTCTTCTTGTTTGTTACATTGCATGCATTTTATTTACAGTCATTTCTTTACTGTTACTTCTTTTACTGTTGTTTTCCTTTGCCATGTTCCCATAGGAACTCTGACTTCTCTTGTTCAAGAGAAGTTATGACAGACATTAGGGTTCTAACCATGCATGATAACATTAGGTAGTTCCCTCCTAACCTCAACCATAGGATCAACTTTGCATGACAACTTTAGGATTGGATCAGTTCCCCTTTAGTGCGTCATTTCTCTTCTCATCTTCAAACAAATCAAAATACAGTAATAAAGGTTAATTGACATCGTACGTTATGAGCCTTAAGCTACTTGAGAAAGGGTTGTTGGAGAGTTTCTTTTCAACAGCTTGGATGTTTAGTATGGCACCCTTTGGGTGACATGCGACGCATTCACTCTCCGATCATAGTCTCTAGTGCGATATTAGTTGCAAACATCCATAAAAGACACTTCTTCTAAAAAACAGAAAACAAAGATCAAACTCTTTTGTCCTCTTGGACCTTTAATCCCTAGAAACCCTTTTCATAAGGAGAGTTTTGTTAACTCTCGGTTCTACCACAAACGGTAAACGCCTAAGTCTCCTTCGAGCGAGCTGCATACACTAACTGCTGGAACCGTCTGTTAATCCTACTCGGATAAAAAAGACAAACTTGTGTCTCTTGTTGTCTCGAACTATGTTTGCTCTGATCTTTCATGTCGTGTGAAAGTACGTAGGCACGAGATGTGATATCTCGGAGAGCAACCTTTCCCCCGTAACTCGTAGTTAGGCGAACTACGTTGACTCTGATTTCTCGTTCCAGATGGGAATACGTAGGCATAAAACTGATGTGTTCTGCCGAGTCATTTTCTTTTCTTTTCAGACCAGAGTTTTAGCGTAGATAGATATAATCGACCCGTCAGATAAACACAACAAGCATGGATTCCATCGAGTACGATGGACGTGAGGGGTGCTAATACCTTCCCCTTGCGTAACCGACTCCTGAATCCAGACAATGGTTGCGATGACCTTGTCTTATACCTTTTCGTCAGGTTTTTCCGATCGTTTCCTTTCCCTTTCTGTGGGATAAATAACGAAAGGTGGCGATTCTTCTGTTTTGTCGGCACCTTCTTTTCGCGATAGCGACAAGTTTACCACTTCAAATCTAAAAATTCTTCAAATCAACTTCAAAAACCACACTCCAAAGCCTTGATCTACATAAATTGATGATGAAAAAGTGAATGGATGGAGATCTAGCTTAAAGATTAGTATGTTCTAATGATGAACTTACTAACTTTCAATGGAAGAAAAAGCTTTGGTGAATTTGGGTATATGAAGAATTGAGAGAAATTTTTGCAAGGTGGATTTGGCTATCAAAAGCTTGTCAAATGAATGAAATGAGACCTCTATTTATAGGATTTAGGCTTGGAAATTTTTAGTGGCTTGGAGTTTGGTTTGGAACCAAAATTAGGCTTGAAATTTGAATTTGGTGGCAAAATCAAGATAAAGTGGTGATTAGTGAAGGTGTTTCGTGGGAATTAATTATGATGAGGTAGAGGAATTAAAATGAAGTGATCTAGAATATTCTCATGATGAAATATTTGAAAATTAGTGCAAAAATGCTTCAGAATTTGAATTTGGCACATTTTCACAAAAAAGACATTGGTTAATCGATTACCCTTATGCTGGTAATCAATTACCACATGCAAAAATTGTGAAAATTTGCTTTTTAACGTATTGTCTTGGCTCTGGCTCAATTCTTTTTGCTTGTCAAAGAAGGCATGGAAATAAACACATGAACCTTGAAGTCTCTTGAATAACTATCAATTAAATCTTGGAAACCCTTTATCAGATGATTTTGAATTGTTTGCAGATCAATTTCGACTTTGTTCAGATGGAATTCATTCAAGCTAAGGGACTGGTATTTGATATCCTTGATCCAAATTCTTCCTGAAAAAGTTAGTAAAGGAAAAACAAACGCTTTTTGGATTTTAATTAATGGTTAGTAAAAATAAACATAAACAAATATCAAACAAACAAGAAAACAGGAGCGCTTGATGATCTCTCTCAAGAATAAACATACAGAGGAAGGCAAGAGAACCAAAGCTTGTGATCTTGTTTGTGGAATGAGATGCAAATGATATATGGGATCTTAGGGGTAAATATTAGGATACTACGTGTAGAATATGAGAAAATCCTCTAATATGCCTCACTTGGGGAAATGTATCTACAATCAAGATATTGCTTGATCTCATTAATGTTCTTTTCTTACCAATTGTATTATCATTAAAAGATTGAATAACAACAAAAAATTTATCAGAACCTTTGTTAATATACTTGAATAAGTATTTGATTGAAGTACTTTGGTTGCACCATTCCATGTTGATGCGCGCTTCATGCTTCAAAAATAAACTTGGGTTGCGAAGAACTACATGCCCTTTTTGAAGAATGATTCCATTATTATCAATTGTGCCTCCATTGTCTCTTCTCCTATAAACTAGATAATCATCTTGATCAACTATGGTTGTAGCTTGAAACTTTTTTGGGTAATACGTCAAACATTTCTCATCTTTCATGCAAGGTGAACTTAGATTTTCCAAACCACAAGGGCCATGAACTATATGATTTTTAACCATGTTTTACAACTTTGGTTCCTTCAAAGGATCGGGTACTTCAGCCCTAATAACCTTGTCAATATCTTTAGGTATTTGATATTTGTTAGAAGGATGCAAGAATATTAAAATATGTGCATGTGGCAACCCTCTCTTTTGAAACTCAATGGTGTATATATCTAGAAAAATATAAGTAAGTAGGAAGTAAATTTCATCAATATGAAACAAATGGAAAAGTAAGGGTGGGAAATGAAAACTTACATTCCACCACCTTTCCTAACATGCTCTTCTTTGCTAAATCTGATAAACCCTGATCAAACTTAATTTTAAAGATCCTCAATATCACATTAGGATGATCTTGTGCTTCCAATCCAAGAGGTATAAGTATTTTTTGTATTTCATGACAATTGGGATTGCAGGTGAATGTTACAAACAAATAAGGAAACCCCATCTTGCTAGTAATAGTCATTCCATCATAGTATAATTGATCCATAAACCCCTCCCACCTACATAAGTAGAAGGCAAGACCATTTTTTCCACTAGAAGAACCATGTATTTGACTTTAATCACCCTCTTCGTTAACACTTTTGTACTTTGACACCCTTAATTTGGGTTGATTTTCATGAATCCATTGTAATATTTCGGACTCTAACACTGTGTAACCATCAACTAAGAATTGTTGAAAAAATATTCTTGAAGGCAACAAAGTTTTAGCCTCACATGGTCTGTTTTAAATGTGAAATGTTAGCCACACTCTAATTGTAAGTCTATTTCTCTTGTTGCCTTGGAAGATGTCCAAGTCTCAATGAGCTATATTTGGCTTATAACCATCTTCTCCATAAGGTAAATTCAAAGGATATTGATAAGCTAAGTAACTTGTATGGAGCTCATTTATTCTTTGTAGCTCTCCACCTTTTGTTTGCATGATGATATCCCTCATTTCTTCTGTGTCAAGATCACAAACTACTAAAGCCACAACCTTAAAGACAGTTGGTTTATTATATATTCTTCTACCCGTTGTCGCTACTGCGAAAATCGGCGCCGGCTATGACAGAAGAGTCGCCACCGTGCGTTATTTATCCCACAAGAGGGAAAGGAAACGCTCAGAGTAAACCTAACGCAAAATGGGAAAGGAATGGTCGTCGCAACCAAATCCTGGATTCGGGATTCGATTATGCAAGGGAAAGGTATTAGCACCCCTCACGTCCGCCGTACTCGACGGGATCCATGCTTGTTTTCTTGTACGGATTGTTATTCTATCTACCCTAAGGGTCTGGGTTAAAAAGAAAAGAAAATGACTCGGCAAAGTATCGCACTTTATGCCTACGTATTCCCGTCTGGAACGAGAAATCAGAGTCAACGTAGTTCGCCTAACTACGGGTTAAAGGGGGAAGGTTGCTCGCTAGGATACGGCATCCTATGCCTACGTACTTTCATACAACATGAAAGATCAGAGCAAACGTAGTTCGGGCTACGGAAGACACAATCTTGTTTGACTGGTTTTTTATTACCTTATGAAAGGGTTTTTCTTGATTAAGATTCCAAGCGGACAAAAATGACACTTTGATGTTTGTTTTGAATCTTTTACGAAAGAAGTGTTTTTTAGTTTGTTTGCAATCTCTGACGCACTAGAGACTATGATTCGAGAGTGATTACGTCGTGTGTCACCCAAAGGGTACCACACTAAGCAACCAGACTACTGGAAAGAAGCTCTCCAGCAACCCTTTCTCGAATAGCTTAAGGCTCGTAACGCCCGACATCGATTAACCTTATTACTGTATTTTTGGGTTGTTTTGAGATAAGAAGAGAAAGAAGCTCTAAAAAGCCTAGGGTTGAAAAGGGAATAAAAACTAACCTAATGTTGTCATGCATGGATAAGAATCCTAATGTCTGTCATAATTCCCTCCTGCACAGAGGAAATCAGAGATCCTAGGGGATAAACAGAAAAGAAAGCAAGCAAATACAGTAAAATGCATGCAATGCAACAGTACAAGCGAGGCAAGGGAGTCTCACTCAACCTCGAACCTGGGAAAACAACAGGCAAAGTGAATCAACATTCACCTAAAACCTAGGGGGAAAGCTACACAAACCAACAAACAAATACAGAAAACAAAACCCAAAGGAGGCAGCCCAAGCAGCAGCACCAAACTCCTATAGTAAACAGCAGCTCTGACAGCAACAGTTGGTTAAACAGCAAAAAGTTGACAGCAACAACTTTCCTCTTCAAACTTCAATAAACTTCAATCTCCAACTTCCATGGAAGAGAAAGCACACTTCAAATAAGGCTCCTCAATACTTAAACAGTTAAGCTCCACATCTACAGAAAACTCCAGCTCAAAAGCAACAGTAAACCCTAGTTTCAGTCCTCCAGCAAGTTCCTGACAGCAAAGTTGACAGTAACATTCCCCCATCTTCAAGCAAACCTTATGAAAGGCATCTTCAACATCTTACATCTTTATCTCCAAGCTCTAGCAAGCTCCACCAAGAAAGATTTGTTATTGATATCAAGTCATAATGAATGGAAATTAGTGAAAACCAAAGGAAATCACTAGAAACCATCATCTGCAAAGAAGGGTATCCTCAAAAGTTATACTCTTTAAGGCATTCCTCTCATCCCTCCAAGGGAGAGATGGGGCTTCCTTAAGAGGAATTTGAATCATAAGATAGGAAGGAAGCAAACAAAGCATTCCATGTTTGAGGAAAGATATGAACTAAGTCTAAAAAGCCCTTCCTAAAACCCTAATTTTCCTAGCTTCTGACAAGCATTCCAACAGATGAGAAATCTTCAACTCTAAGCTCCTTCAAGATATCCAAAGCAACTTCAATTGGTCCTCCAATTCATCCAAGCAAAGTCCAAGCCAAAAGCTCACCCAAAATAGCCCAAACAAAATGAATAAACCAGGCAACCAAGGGAGAAACCCACAAACATCACACCAATTGCAAAATACAAATAAAATGCTAAAATAGATCATAAAATCCTAATTAAATTTCTAAGGGAACCTAAGCCTATACCCAATATCCCATATAAATCCCAGGACCTAAATCAAACACTAAGTCCCCAAACTATGCCCTAAACTACAGCTAGTTGTTTTAAAACCCTAAACCTAACACTCCTTATGTTCACCACTCAAATTGGCCTAAACTTTAATCACAAAAATATGATAAAATTTCTAAGGTTACATTCTTATCTAAAATAACTAATCCAAAAAGAATCAACTCAAAATCATGCACCAACTATTCACAATAAAATCAGCAAAAACACATGTCAAACAAATTAAAAATAAAACTAATTAAAATACAAAAAATGCAAATAAAATAAAAAATGCATGAAAATGGGACTTATTAATTTCAGAAAATCACAAATAAATCCAAGATTATGGAGGTATTTTTAAAATATTTTTTTGGATCAAAATTGGATTTAATATGTATTTTAGAAATTAAATGGAATAAAAGAAATCCAAAAAGAATAAAAAGAAAATAAAATGCTGAATTAAACATGAGCCAATGGATTGAGACGACTGGTAATCAAATCCAAGGATCCTGAGCGTATTCACGTGAGGATGAGGTGGCTGATGACTCACAAGCTAAGTCACTTTAATGAAATGCTGCGTATTGAATTAAAGAGGGAAAGCTGAGTTTAAATGGTGACCACACGATCTGCGTACAAAGTCCATCTGAAGGACTGATCCAAGGGTCCAGACATTATCTTCCCCAAAATTCAGGTGACCTGAGACTATTCTTAGGCAGTGGTCCATGGTGGAAAACACCGTCTTCTCCGGTGAAGGTCCACTTGTAGGTGACCAGAAATCACAAAGATTATACCTATCTCACTCAAAATCCCATGCTGATCATGAATCTGGCCTCATATTTTCTCAAATCCTTCTAGGTTTTCAAAACCGATAGCATTTCCAAAACATATCACATTCTTGATCTTCACCAAACTCAAATCTAAATCCCTAGATCTACTCCTCACATTACACTGATCATCCTAAGCTATCACAATCATGTTAATTCCTCAAGATCACATGTAACTGAATCCAAACAGAAATTGGTGCACTCCCTTGATCATCACCAAATGATGCCAAACCAAACCTAAATCGTTCTACCAATCATAGGGAACCTAACCACATATTTCTAAGGCTTTGAATCATCATAATTAAAGAGGAAAGTTTAAGAATGAAAACTTGGTTTCAAGCTTCAATTGAGGATGATTCTAGCTCGAATTAAGCTCCAAGATCTTCTAGAATCCTTCACTGATGATAATAAGAGCTTCTTGCAACCTCAATTTGGTCTGAATTCGCCTTGAACTTCAAAACCATTTTCAGTTAGAAACCTTGAAAGCTCAACTTCAATCTTCACTCTCTCCACGAATTCTGCACCAACCTTCATCCGGAATCATTGAAATGAATATATAGAAGCTTCTCATGGGCTTCTAAGTCCAAATTAAGGCCCAAATTAACCAATCCAAAATTTTGTCATACACTTGAAACTCAATGGTGACAATCACGATTTTGCACTCTCAGCTTGCTCTAGAATGTTCCTTTCAACTGCAAATTGGTTTGTGAGTGTGTTTGGATAGCTAGCTTGGCCTGAATTGCCCTGATTTTTGTTTTGGCATTGTAACTTGTAATGTAAGAAAGCACTTTTCAAAGCAAGTCATGAAATTGAAACTCAACTCAAAATTGTGACATTTCCAATGTGTTTTGAATGCAATTTCTGGTCAAAATGACTACCCACATGACATGTTTAGGACCTACAACTCAAAAAATCATTTTTCCCTCTTTTGAATCATTTGAAAAATCCTTCTTTTAGGCCATTTTGAAGCACTTTGTGAAATAAGCCAATCCAACTCACCATGAATTCACATCTGACCTAAAAACATCATTTTAAGCACATCTCATGTTGAACAATTTTTCATTTGAAGAGTGGAAGATGGAGATTTTGGCACATTCTTGAAAATGACCTATAATTCAACTTTCCCAAAATACCCCTGGATTTCCAAGATCATAACTTGAGTTCCACAAATATTCTTGAGGACTTCTAGTACTCAAATTAAAGCTAAGATAAATACCTACAACTCTTATGTTGGCAAAGAATCCATTTGAAAACTCCTTGAGGGGAAAAAGTTGCTTAGAATTCAAGTGACTTTCACAGATAAATTTCAGTGTCCTCTGGTGACTTGTAACTTGCAAGAACCATAACTTGAGTTCTACAAATCTTCTTGAAGACTTCTAATACTCAAATTAAAGGTATTGAGAAGCTATACAAGTTTCATGTTTACCAAGAATCTATTTGAAACTTGTATTTTGACTTATGTGGCTTGGAAGTCCAGTGCGATACAGGGGATTTTACCCTAGGAACCCTGTCTCAAACACCTCCAACCATCTTGATTCTTTTGAACTTGGTCTTGGATCATCCACACACATGCTTCAAAATATAAATCCATGACTTCCATGACCTAGATCTAGGTCTTGATTCCCTTTCTTTGCTCTC